ATTCTTAGAAAAAGATGATACACATATTATTGTGTTTACTTTATCCATTGTTGTTTTTCCAATATTTTTAATGGTGCAAGATGATAATGAATAAAGTAAGCAAAATATATTGTGTATAACGTACAGATAATTTAAAAGTGCTGTATATTAAACATTTGTATATCTGTATAACCATATATCTGTATATATATGTATACATTTAGTAACATGCACAGAATATAATTTAATGTTAAAATAACAGTCTTTGTGCAGATTCGAAATTGATTAACAAATATAAGTGTTTAATTGAAAATATTCTAATTGACATGTATGTTTCAGGGAATGGTTGCTCTTGTAACTGGGGGTGCTTCTGGACTAGGACTGGGAGCCGTGCAAAGATTTGTAAGAGAAGGTGCCAAAGTTGTTATCGCTGATTTACCTACATCCAAGGGACACGATATTGCTAATGAATTAGGAGAATCAGTTTTATTTACACCAATGAATGTAAGTGTTTGCCAAAATAGTATTAATATCAAAATATAAATTGTACAAGAGCAGATAACGAATTTAGCACTTGAAAGAGCAGGAAATAATGATTGTAGTTGTAGAAAGACAACATATTTTCTAGTGTTTCGATAGCTGATATTAATATCGTATCTGTAAATAAATTGAACCAAGCTATCGTGACCATTACGCAACGATTATTTTATAGGATGTTGCTGTAAAAAGTTGTTCGCTTACAGGTGACGTCGGAGCAGGATGTAATGGATGCGTTGGCTCTAACAGAGGATAAGTTTAAGAAGTTGGATGTCGTGTTGAATGCGGCAGGAGTAGCTGTCGCATACAAGATTTACAATTTCAATAGAGATCGTGCGCACAGTTTAGAAGATTTTCAAAGAATAATCAACGTAAATACTGTTGGTACTTTCAACGTGGTCAGATTAGCCGTAGCACTTATGTACAAGAACAAGCAGAACGAGGACGGACAACGTGGAGTGGTGATCAACACAGCGAGTGTTGCGGCTTACGATGGACAAATGGGTCAGACAGCGTATTCTGCAAGTAAGGGTGCGATAGTTGCCATGACCCTACCGATGACCCGCGATTTGGCAAAGGTTGGGATTCGCGTCAACACGATAGCGCCTGGTATAATGGAAACACCTATGCTGCTAGCATTACCGCATAAAGTGCGTGTATACTTGCAAGAAACGATACCGTTCCCATCGAGGCTCGGTAAACCGGACGAGTTCGCTCAGTTGGCGCAACATATCATCGAGAATCCTCTTCTGAATGGAGAAGTGATTAGATTAGACGGTGGTCTTAGGATGCCGGCTTAAGGATTTATGCGAGCAGGCAAACGTCGAGTGATTGTCTGAACATTAGATCGGATAAGGGATTCTTTACATTTCTATCAAAACGAAAAATATGTAACACAGGACAAACAGAAAGATATACGGAAATATATGTATATGCAAGAGAAATGAAAACGAATAACTTTGTTAGTACATGCAACACCATTATAATTCTCTTAAAATGTACACGAACAACTAAACGTTTCCATTCTATCATAGGTATCGACAATTCTCTTTATTACCTTATGGCTCTGTACAATTAACGTCTTGTAAATATGTTGCAAAAGTCGCAACACCCTTCATTTGTTTTTTCGTTTTTTTGTTTTAAATAGTTCACTAGAGTATCGTCTAGCAAAAAGGTTGTGTACATAGTATTAACATAAAAATTTGCTCAGTATCTTTTTTCTGTTTCCCCGTTTCTATCGATTCTTTCCCGGTTAGTCTTTCCTCCCAATAACCTCCGGAGATTTCCAGAATTCCAGCAAATGCTGAAACTTATTTTGATGATTTTTCGGAAGAGCCAGTTTATTTGTTAAGGCAGGATAATCGGGATCCTCTCCGAGGTCTAGTCAATCCTAGGCATTCGATTCTTTCAGATTTTGCAGCTTCTCCAGCTGGTCGGGTTGTAATTCATCTGGAATACTTGCCCTTCCTGCCATCACCATTTTCTTCGGCACGATCTCGATTTCTTCTGTTTCGATTTCCCGTTGTTCCAATTCCTGTTCCTGTTCCTGTTCCTGTTCCAGTTGCTGTAGCTGTTGTTGTTCCTGTACATCAATCACCGTGCCGCGAGACGGTATCGACTGAGAATTTTCTCCTGTGCTCGGCCCAGTCGTCGAGTCCGCCTCGCTGCCGGAACTGCTACTAACCGGAAATGGTGCCGAATCCGCTGGCAAATCGTCCACCGTTGACTTTTCTTCAATGTCCTCCGGTGCTTCGGTAGTCTCTTGATCCTCTTTTTCATCCATGATAACGGTGGTCTCTTTGCAGTCACTTTCGTTCATGTCAGTGGTAGTGGCGCTAGACGGCAGATCACCACCTTCAGAGCTTTCGGTAGACTTGACCGTGTCGTCGGCAGCCTCCTCCATCCCGGGGAAAGGGTGCTCGACTTCCTCCATGGGGGTCGCAGCCGTGATTACGATCTGAGCAACGCCTAATCCAAATTCATCTTTGGATTGGTCGTCGTCGGTGTTCTCGGTGGTCACCGACGGCTTCGCTTTCTCCTCATCTGTCTGTAAATACAGACCGGACAACGGTAAACGGTCAACAGATTTCGACAACGTAACGGGTTCTGATCTCGCTTCTCTCTTTTTAACTATCTTTATATTTACCTTCATTCCAGATTCATCCGATACTTGTACAACTAAGCGGCAGTTTTGTGTAAATTCAGTCACGGATTAAATCGAAATAAAACTAAGAAATGTTAGTCGGTAGCTAGAATCAAAATCAGTTCTGCTAACCTACGATGCCAGGCCCCTCGGACCCGTCTTCCTCAAACTGTGAGCCATAATGGCTCTTCTGGTCCTTGGAAAGATTTATTACGAAACCGTCTTGCGATTGCTCGGCGTTCGCGTTAGCGATTTGCTCAGCCTCCTGCATTTCTGCGCTCACTGGAACAACAATACATAGATAAGACATTTTCCAATTTTCCATTCGATTACGATCGTAAAGCTAGCACCTTTCATCATGCCCTGCGTCAACTCGTCCTCCAAGAAAAACTCTGGAACTTCGGGCGGGGTGAATACAGGAGGCGCGGAACTCGGTGGCGTTATGTTCTCCTGAAAAGAACATTTCGAAATTTATTTGAATCAAGAAATATCGAGTAGACGAAAGTAGCCAGGTTTTGTTAATCAATCGTAATATAACCTGCGGGGTTAAAGGTGAACCGTCGGCAGCGCACGGTTCCATGATCAAAGAGGGGAATAATCCTCGATGCCCGCGAATTTCTCCCTCCCACCAGCCGTCATCGACGTCGTGCGGATCTTTTCTTAGAATTTTCACAACGTCGCCTTCGTAGAAACTAACCTCCTCGTCGCACGTAGCGTCGTAATCGTAAAGGGCGATACAGAATTGCTCGGGTTCTGCGAGAACAAGAACTACCGGTCAGCTAGCACTCGATCTACCGATAGCTCAAAACTTGTGCTCGATCGAAGGATCATTGATAATTACCTCCTATATGATTTTGTACAATTGCTGCTTCCGAAACAATAGCATGTTGCAAATTAGCATCAGGATCGACCGCGTCGTGGTCGTCGATCGTGTAGTCCACCGAAGAGAAGGATATCTGATGGACGAGTCCCGGCCCCTGGGAAGTCAAACCGGAAGTGGTTTCGGACTCGCGCTCGACATCGAGATAATTTTGAGGAACGAAACCTTCTTCGCCACGGTAATTGCGAGCTCGCAACCAACCATCCCCGTCGCCTTCGCCAACAACTTCGAGCTGTTCGCTTTCAACAATCGACAGTTCGTCTGGATTTTGCGCCTGCAACGATATTCGCAACAACGATCGTTGACATTCGTGATTCACGGTCCGAGAGTTCAATTAAGACAGTGAGTGTTGCGTCGGTTACTACATATGGGTAGCACTTATTTTTAACTAGTTTTTAAAATTAATTTTTATTGTCCCAAAAATGTCTCGCAATTCGAAAGTAGGGGATTCCTGAGGTCACCCGAAGCAACTTTTTCCTTAGCGAAAATGCAATCCGCGGCTTCGTTTACGAGTTATTAACGAAAAACAGTGACCAATTAGAGACGAGTTCATTTGGCGCGAGATAGCCGAGCTCGCCTCTTATTGGTCAGTGTTTCTCGTTAATAACTCGTAAACGAAGCCTCGGAGAAAATTTTTGCAAAAGAAAAAGTTGCTTCAAATGACCTCAAGAACCTCCCATTTCCGGATTGCGAGACATTTTCGCAACACCCTGTATATGAAACAAACTGAATGTTACTAGGATATTTAGAATCCAAACGATCAAATTAACATCTGATTTAAACTAACGATTAAATTAACGGTAAATTTTAACTTTCTATAGCTGCGGTTACATTAATTAGATGACTTTAACCTTTTAGGTACGGCTGAATTCTGCGCGAGGCTATTTCTCTGGACGGCAGAGTCTGATATGTACTGTACAGAGTGTCTGTATATTGTTAAGATACAGTTATATTGTTAACAGTTATATTGTTAAGATAAGTCTGTATATCGTAAATCGATGTGAAGACAAAAGAAGTGTGAAACAATGCATATGAAGACGATTATTTGATTCAAACGATGACCAAGTGAGCTACTAGAGTAAACCACTATAGTGGTGCGTCGTTCAGAGAGATGGCATCCGCGAAAGCCAATATAGTAGCGCGTCGTTCAGAGAGATGACATCCGCAGAAGCCACTATAGTGGCGCATCGTTCTGAAAGATGACATCCGCGAAAGTCACTATAGTGGCGCGTCGTTCAGAGAGATGACATCCGCAGAAGCCACTATAGTGGCGCATCGTTCTGAAAGATGACATCCGCGAAAGTCACTATAGTGGCGCGTCGTTCAGAGAGATGACATCCGCAGAAGCCACTATAGTGGCGCATCGTTCTGAAAGATGACATCCGCGAAAGTCACTATAGTGGCGCGTCGTTCAGAGAGATGACATCCGCAGAAGCCACTATAGTGGCGCATCGTTCTGAAAGATGACATCCGCGAAAGTCACTATAGTGGCGCGTCGTTCAGAGAGATGACATCCGCGGAAGCCACTATAGTGGCGCGTCGTGCCTAAAAGGTTAATATTATGGGAATTTGTAGAGTTGACATGCGACACTTCACGTGTTAATAACAATTGCTAGAAATCCAATGTACCGTGTACGAATACAGCGCAGTGCACTTGTAAATCGGTTGCGCAGGAGGCGCCTCCTCTGTTTCGTGGACTTCCGTCTGCTCGTCTTTCTCCTCGTTGTCCCAGTCCACAGCCGTTGGATCGTCCCATCCTACAGTCAGCTGCTCTATTCGTTGTTTCTCTTGCTCGAGCAACGCTGCGGTAGAAATCAAAAGTACAATTCTTATTCTAATATGTATTCCATGTATACGTTTCGTATCGATTTACACGCTCACCGTCAACTTCCTCGCTGTCGTGCCTTTGTCTTTCGTCGATAGGCTCGTCTTCCTGCTGAGAAGTATTCTTTACACTGCCCGGCCGCTCGACGGTGGTCAGGTCGCTTCCACCGTCCCCGTCGCTATCGTAGAACGAATCCGAGGACGGATGTTCCTGTACCATGACGAAAACAACATGATTTAATTGTTCCCGTTCATTGGAGGATCATTCGCCGTCGAATACGGCAAATACGATACGAGAGAAATAAGAAAATAGGATATCGGCATTCGCGTCCACGGATTAGCGTAAGTCGTAAGGAAATATGGATCGCAGTACCGCAGTTCCAGAAGCGTCCGTCCTCACGGAGAGGGAGCTGGCCGAGCGTGGCATGTCCTGCACGCTCAATGTCTCGACCTCCTGCAGCCACTCGTCGACGTTCACTGAAGAAACAATGAGAATGACCGGTGGCGATGATGCTCGCGTCGACACAAATCATTGACGACAGAGACACGTAAAATTATTAATCGGTAGACTACTTAATCGAGTAGACAAACGGATTTACGAACCTCCACCGTTCCGAAGGCAATCTATTCTCGACTCTGCTTTCAGCTTAGCTGTCTAATGGACAAGAGAACACGTAAGAAAGAGAATGTTAATTTCCCCGGAAAGCTTACCTCTGCGCGTCGTATTGCGTGTTTCAGCTCGTCGATTTTCGTGTCCAAATCCGGACCTTGCGGATCGTTTGGATCAGTCTGTAAAACCGATATTAGCAAAAAGTGACTATTCCTCCCAAGTACAGATTGTTGTTGATCGTGGACAGTATCGGCCGTCGGATTAGTTTACCTTTTGCCCGGACTCTTTCAGCTGAATAAAATTCTGCAATTTCCTACTGTTCTCCCGGATGCTGCTTACTTCACGCGCTATTCTCGTCGACCAGCGACGAGCCTCTTTACCGAGCGTGGCCGCGGCAGAGTGATCGGCGGTTATCCTGCAAACAATGGCATCGTCCACACCGCTAGCGTGATCATTGTTGTTTCGTAATATTAAGGGGGACCGGAAAGTAATGTCGTTTCTGCGCATATTTGTCTGCTTGAATTTAATGTAAACAAACGACATAACTTTCCGATCCCCCTAATATATTGTAATTCGATTCCAGTAAGTGACTCACGGACCTATCCACCGGATCGTTGTCGCAACACTCGAAATCGTACTCTATATGCTGCTTCAAAACAGGGTAGTACAAACAGCAACACTGAATGTTGTACTCTCTAGTGAGCTGCAACACGAGCGACGTAAACAACACGGGAGTTCCGGTTATTCCGTGTTTACCACTACAAGTATGTCTATCATCGAACAAACCAACCAACCGACAAGTGTTTGCGTTTGCACGACGTTTGATTATCTATAGAGTGTCCCAAAAAATGGCTCGCGATCCGGAAATGGTGGATTCCTTAGGTTATTTGACGTAACTTTTTCCTTGGCGAAAATGCAAACCGCGGCTTCGTTTACCAGTTATTAATGAAAAACACCAACCAATAAGAAGCGAGCTTTGCTGGCGCGGAACGGCCGAGCCAATGAGCGGAGCTGGGCTTCGTCGCGCGCTCGTTGGCTCGGTCTACTCGCGCGTTATAATAATAATAATAATATTATATTATATTATTTTTATATTATTTAAATTATACAGGGTGTCCCAAAAAATTGTCTCGCAATTCGAAAGAGGCGGGTTCCTCAGGTCATTTGAAGCAACTTCTTCCTTTACCAAAATTTTCTCCGAGGCACCGTTAACGAGTTATTAACGAAAAACAGCGACCAATGAAAGGCGAGCTCAGCTGGCGCGAGGCGACCGAGTCAACGAGCGGAACTGGGCTTCGTGCGCTGGTTGGCTGGGCCGCCTCGCGTCAGCCGTACTCGCCTCTCATTGGTCACTGATTTACGTTGATAGCTCGTAAACGAAGCCGCGGTTTGCATTTTCGCTAAGGAGAAAGTTGCTTGAAATGATCTCAGTAACCCTCCATTTCCGGATTACGAGACATGTTTGAGACATCCTGTATAACCTATATGGAGCGAAGAAGAAATAGTTTCAGCGCGTCGACCGAGAACCGTCTTGTCGCAGCAATTGTTAACCGGGGATGAAACCGATCGCATTGGTTCTACTGGCAGCGGTTGAAATCAACGTTTTCTATGTCAGTTGTATCGTCTGTCGGACGAGTTACTCACTTGTTGCGCTTGGTCGCGAATTTTCGTGAAGCTGTTCTGCGTTGCCAGACAGGTCAAGAGTTCGGTACGACCCATCAGCGTTAAATATTCGGCTACCTTATCGTAAACGCCTTGTTCCAAATACTGTTCAAACGTGCGACAAACGGGAAAAATATTATGGTTCCGTAAACAATGGCAAAGGTCGAAGGTCGAGGGAGGAAGCATAGGGAATCGAATCCACCGACCTGCATGGTGTTCTGTAAATCGACTACAAAATATCTTTTTTGATGGGCATTCGCAGCGGCGAGGCTAAGTAAATAATCGTTTCGAGCTCCCGTTGACTTTTCCTCCAATGCGTCGCGTTTCGAGCTCACCTGCGGGGCATCGACACGTTAATGCAAAAACTGTCTCTACGTGCTGTACAGGGTGTCCAAAAATTATTGTACAAGCGGGAAATGAGGGGTTCCTGAGGTCGTTCGAAGTAACTTTTCTCTGAGCGAAAATGCAATCCGTTGCTTCGTTTACGAGTTATTAACGAGAAACAGTGACCAATGAGAGGCGAGCTCGGCTGGCGCGCGGCGGCCCAGCCAACGAGCGCGCGGAGCCCAGTTCCGCTCATTGACTCGGCCGTCTCGCGCCAAATGATCGGAGAAAATGTTCGCATTTTGGCTCGGCCGCTTCGCGCCAGCTAATCTCACCTCTCATTGGTCTCACTGTTTTTTTGATGATGACCTCAGGAACCCCTCATTTCCCGTTTGTATAATAATTTTGGGACACCCTGTATATTCGATCAGTTAATATCGTAGTACTAATTCGTTTCGTTCTACCTTCGCGCTGTTTTTCTGCAACGACGTTATCGATTGAAAGAAAGATCCTTTCTTTTTCTTTAATCTGAAAATAATCATCAAGCGTGCACACAGCATTGTTAGGCTCGTCGATCGATCATGAAATCGAACCGAATCGTGAAACATCGACGAATAACGTACTTTTCCTCGATGTCTTTTGCCTTGTCCCGGACGTCGTGAGCACTGTGCTCCTCGTCGAAGTACAACTTCTTCGTTTTATCCACGTCCTGCACGCACATTTGCAGCTCTTTTTGTACTATCATCAATTGGTCGATCGCCTGAAACAAAATTCGCGCCGTCAGTTTGCTTTTACGAATTTAAACGATTCGGAAAGCTAACAGAATATTACAGTCTCAACCTTGAACTTTCAGGACCGTTGGACATTGTCTATGTACACGTTTTATCGACCCGTACCTTCTTTGAAATTTGGAGTTTGTGCATCTTCAAGCTTTTGGCGTCGTCGGCAATTTGTTGTTGAAAAACCTCGACGGCCGCTAGCCGAGCTCTGGCCAGCTTCTCGTTCTCCTCCAGCACGGTCCGCCAAACGTTCCACATGTTCCTGAAACGATTTCGATCAGCCCGAACTGTTATCGAAGCGGCCAAGCGTCGCTCTAAACGAGACCTTACCATTTCTCGTCGCCGCCATCGACCTTCAGGTCCGGAATGTACGGGATTTTCTTGTTCAAATAGGCGGAAGATATTTTGAGGAGCGCCTGTAAAAATACCGTTTAGCGAACGTTCACCGAAAGTCCATCGAATAAGTGGACTTCGAGCCGAGTCGAATTTCATAGTACGTAACCAACTTACCTCCGAATAGGATTTCTCGATCGCGGATTTCTTTATCGTGAAGTTGCTGAAAAGAAAGTCGACAGAGAATTTGACGAAGTCCGTGTTAAATTATGCAATTACGATTTTAACACGTTCGTCGCCCAGCGCAATTCGGTTGAGTTTCTCGCGGGACCCAAATACGACCGATGGAGCACCGAAACATAAACGGAGCGATAAATTTTTTAAATAAATAATTTTAAATAAATTTAACCTTGACATAACCTGAACGTCAAGAAACGAAAAAAAAATGTAGAAAGAACTACGACATAGTATAATGTAATGTGTTATACTAAATATAAATTAGTAAAAAGTATAATATAATATGTATATAGTATAATATTTTTAGTATTTTTACGTTGTATATCCTATATTTATATTTCAGTGCTCATTCCATTTTATTCCTTTTAAAATCCAACTGAAAGTTCTATAAATTGAATAAGAAGAGCGTCACCCATATTTGGGTGACGGGGCCCCCGCGGAAGCATACCCGTCACCCAGATCGATAAACAGAGCGATAAATTTTTTAAATAAATAATTTTAAATAAATTTAACCTTGACATAACCTGAACGTCAAGAAGCGAACAAAAATGTAGAAAAAACTACGACCTATCGTTCGAATTGTCCAAAATCACCTCAAATGTGTTTAGAATGTTTCAACGCGCAGCATACGACATAGTATAATGTAATGTGTTATACTAAATATAAATTAGTAGAAAGTATAGTATAATATGTATATAGTATAATATTTTTAGTATTTTTAAGTTGTATATCCTATATTTATATTTCAGTGCTTATTCCATTTTATTCCTTTTAAAATCCAACTGAAAGTCCTATAAATCGAATAAGAAGAGCGTCGCCCACATTTGGGTGACGGGATCCCCACGGAAGCATACTCGTCACCCAGATCCGAGTGACGCGACGACGAACGTGTTAAATAACTGCATTCTGTTATTGCTATTTTATCCCTGTTTATTGCGGTACACGGTTCGAGTAGGGGAAATAAAGTGTTTGCCGACTCTAGTTCTCTTTAAATCCTTACGCAATGAATATGCATGCGTAAACGGTCGCAGTCAAGCTATCAATTTCGCGTTAAACGATCGAACGTGTATATATATATATATATATCTGTGTGTGTCGTATCTGTGCGACGTATCGGTGGATTAATGAAACAGACGTGGAATATCGGCGCGACTCGCGCGTATCGTAAAACCGTTCCTATTTGCCATTGTACGCGTCGTTCGGCACCGAGGGGCGTTAACGGACTGCGGCATAGACTTTAGGCGAAAGAGGCTCCGATGACGTTAACAGATAAGACATCGCGCAAAGCGGCGGTGCCCAGTTACCAAAAACGGCGAGCCGCGCGATCATCGAATCGATCCGGAAATTTCTGACCAATGTCGGGACGCGCGTGCAGACGAGGTACCGGGAGCGTTCGATTCACGGTCCCCTCGCCGAGAATGAATGCGATCGAAGCAAGCTTGTCCCCCGTTGGAAAGTAAAAGTACGGTCGCCGTCGAAGAGAAACGGAAACTGCTTACGCGACAAGACGCGGACGACGCGAAATGCCGGAGGCACCTACTAGAGTGTTCCGGAGGTCTTTTATCTAATCCCCTTTTACACAATTACGGGACTCACCGAATATCCTCCAGAAGGTCGCATTCGTGCTGATTTTTCGCCTGCAACTTGGCCGCCTGCTCCGCGTGTACATTCTTCAGAAATTTTGCGTAATTTCCCTGCGGGAACATAGAACGTTTCAGCGAATCGAGGAATCAATTGTTTTGTTTTTTTTTCTTCGGCTGACAACTTTCGATGATGCCGCGACGCGACGAGACGAGACGAGACGAAACGAGACGCGACGAGACGACGAGACGAGACGAGACGCGTTCGTTAAGAGGAAAATATGCGATTTGTTAATTAGCTCTCGGTTTCTCAGCACAGAAACAAGTTGTTCCGGCACGGCATAGCGGGTGGAAAATAAAAGGTTGTCTCTCTTTCCGCTTCGATTATTGGTCGTTTGCACGGCATCCGATAATTACCGGTCAGGGGAACTAACAAGGGTGACGCTTTAATCAACGGCGACGTTGTTCGAAGTCAAGTTCAATTTTGTAGTACATGTAGCTGCATCGGCGATCCCTTTACGCATCGAGGCTCGCATTGACCCCGTGAACTCTGATCAACGCCCGTCCGTGCGAACACGTTCGATGTTCGTACGTGCAACTCGGGCTTTACGGAAAATCAATGTGTTTCTTATGAGCACGAGCGATAAACAAACGTCTCCCTTCTAGACGTGCCGGAATTTCCCGGATATCGAGTGGCTTGCGAATTAATTACCGAGTCCATCGGGTTGCGCGATACGAAATATCGGATTTTCAAGCGAGGGATTGCATTACCAAAGAAAAGGTCAAATATAAAGAACATTGTTGACCCGCTCTAAATTGTTTCATAATTACTAACAAAATCGAGCAACGTTAAAGGTAACATTTTTATTATGCAAAGGTGTAAAATCTTTGTAGGGTAGTGGAGCTGGTTATTGAAGGGTGATCAATTGCTGTGCCTTTGGTTCGTTTTCGAGCATAATTTACTTCGTATTTATCGAATGAGACATACTAAATTGTTTCCATTCAAAAATGAACGAAATAAAAGAATAAAATACATTGCACAAGAATCTCACTCGCCTGTTAAAACAATCGAAAACATTTATCGAAGTTACACTTCGCCGTTAACAATTTAGAAAGAGGAACGAAGAAGATTCAAATGACGATTGTTAACATTTGTTTAAGATCTTATTGTAATTGATATTGTAAATACTATTGTAAATTTGATATTCTTAATTTTATTGAAGAAGATTCGAATAACGATTTATTTAGAATCTTATTGTAATTGATATTGTAAATACTATTGTAAATTTGATATTCATAATTTTATTGCAAATTTTAGACAAAACATTTGTCGAAGTTACACTTCACCGTTAACAATTTAGAAAAAGGAACGAAGAAGATTCCAATGACGATTTATTTAGAATCTTATTGTAATTGATATTGTAAATACTATTGTAAATTTGATATTCATAATTTTATTGCAAATTTTAGACAAAACATTTGTCGAAGTTACACTTCACCGTTAACAATTTAGAAAAAGGAACGAAGAAGATTCCAATGACGATTTATTTAGAATCTTATTGTAATTGATATTGTAAATACTATTGTAAATTTGATATTCATAATTTTATTGCAAATTTTAGACAAAACATTTGTCGAAGTTACACTTCACCGTTAACAATTTAGAAAAAGGAACGAAGAAGATTCCAATGACGATTTATTTAGAATCTTATTGTAATTGATATTGTAAATACTATTGTAAATTTGATATTCATAATTTTATTGCAAATTTTAGACAAAACATTTGTCGAAGTTACACTTCACCGTTAACAATTTAGAAAAAGGAACGAAGAAGATTCCAATGACGATTTATTTAGAATCTTATTGTAATTGATATTGTAAATACTATTGTAAATTTGATATTCATAATTTTATTGCAAATTTTAGACGAAACATTTGTCGAAGTTACACTTCACCGTTAACAATTTAGAAAAAGGAATGAAGAAGATTCAAATGATTGATTCAAATTATTGTAATTGATATTGTAAATACTATTTTAAATTTGATATTCTTAATTTTATTGCAAATTTTAGAAATTCCATTTACGCAACGAATTCGCCGAATTTCGATGCCAAGGGGGAAGTTTCAAGTAGTATAGGAGATTTTGGGCCAGACAGTCCCGGCCGTGGCGCGTCGCAACAACGCGACGCGAGGCGATACGCGCACGTATCGTTGCTAATCAATTCGCACAAAGGGGTAACCCCGTTCGATCGCGTTGAAATTCTGACAGGTCTATCGATTCTCCTTGAACATCAGGCGTTGCATTTTTGAATGCGTCCACGGTCTAAAGGCTCGTACGTACGTAATCGCTGTGTGCACGACTGCTGATTCCGGCATTGTTACGTGGATCGTTAAACTGCCTTTATTCGTTTGTCTCGCTCGTTCGTAAATTATTTTTCGTTTACGTCTTGAAATGCGCCACCGGCGAACGCGATGGCTTACGGACGAACGTTGCCCGTGCGTGCTGCATTCGAGTTACACGTAACTCGAATACACGACAATTTGTTTAACACCAAAACCTACCAAGCAGTAATACTAACTGGCATGTACTGTTTCGCAAAAGTGACAAGACCGAATTTATTTGGAATTCGTAAAGTTTTTATTATAAAACTTGCTCCAATAATATAACTTATTCGAGCGTTTTCCACGAAAGAGTCTCGGAACTTTTCAGAATTGCAAAATAAGAAAGCGACCGCTTCGACCGCGATAGGTTCAGTGTTAAACCGGACCGAGAGCGACAATAAGACCGACCCGATACGTTCGGTTCCGCGAAGTCCATTTTTAGTAGTTCGAATAAATCATATAAATATTTTTTTTCGCATTTAAAGCGAACAAATGCGAAGCTTCGTTTCTCAAATTTATCGAATGCACGGCTCGGCGAGCTTCGCCTGTGTCCGCGATTAATTTTCCTTTAATTCGAAATAGTGACGAAATGAGGAAGGGAGGAGAGAGAGGAGGGAGGGGGTGTTAGAAAAGAGACGGAAAGGTCGGGCTTTTAAACAGCCCGGCTCGACAAAGTGGCGTGATACAGCGAAGAATTTCAGGTTGTGGATGAAAGGCCCGTGCTAAAGGAAATTTATAGCCGGGACACCCGCGACAAAGACATTTATTACTTTGAAAAAAGCCCCCTATCGATCGCGGAGGCCGACACCGAGCCTTTCCGGCAGCTTGAGAAAGGGATGCAGCCAGTCCTTGCGCGGGGGTTCCTTCGGAAAAGATTCGTCCGCCGAACGAGTATCGTTTTTATCTTCGAGCGGGTCCTCGTTTGGGAACTGTTTTCGGCGGAATGCGCTTCGCGCGAGGGTGAACCGACTCGACAAACACGAAATCGGCCGTGGGCGGCGTAGAAATCTTCCCGAGTGCAAAGAATAAACAGAGTGGCGAGAGGAGCATAGTCGAAGCGTGTTCTTCAAACTCGCATCGACGCGGAGAACGCTCTCGCGTTCCCTTTTTTTCGCGTATCTCTTTCTCTCTTTCGGCTCTCGGGGAGGGTCTCTCTCTCTCTTTTTCTCTCTCACCCCTTCCTCTTTGCTCTCTCCCTCTCTCTGGATTCTTATCGGGTGACTAGCATTCGACAAGTGGAAGTGGGTCAGGAATCCCCGGATCTTTAACTACGAAACTTTATTGTCGTGGAACAGGAGGCGAAGGGACGGGTCGCGTAACCCGACAAATAGGTCAGTAAATTTTATTGCCCTCGCAGGCACAGGGACCTGGCCTGCATGGTCCTCCCAAGGACCCCTGCTCCTCCTTTGATCAGCCTCGTTCGCGTGTGCAACTAATAAGGGGTGTCGACCAAGTGGCCTTCTTCCAGTATTAATTGAACCTTACACGGAAGATATATAATCGGAATAAATACTTGACAACTGGTTCTTCCATCGGCTGCCATTTGTATTCGCGAAGCGAGCACGGCACTCTTCGATCGAGACAAAGAGTATCGCGTTAACGGAAAAACTTTCTTCGAACGAGAGAGAATCGATCGAACGTGGTTTGCAATGCGAACGTTAACGTTTACGTTCACCAAGAGACCGAGTACAAATGACAGCCTGTACAGATGACAGAAAACAGGACGACTGCTAGTTTCACCGAGTGGTAAATTGCTGGCCAACGTGGCAGAAGAATCGGAGAGGATTTCACCGTCTAGACGGTGCCACTTTTAAACGGCCGGAGTAGAAGAAATTTGCGGGTCGTGTATTATCGCAATTACGCTATCTTCAACGCAGGAATAATTCAACGCGGAGACGCGACGCTGTGCGCGTTCAAGTAACGCCGCACGGGAACGTTTTAGAAGAATTTCAAAACGCTCTTAAAAGCTATTTCCCGAACGACGAAACTCGAACTATCCTTTGTACGAAACGTGAAAAGCATCGGTGGAGCAGAGCTAGCGCGTTACAGCCAGGAAAATTAAGCCCCGACAAGAAATCGTTATCAGCATGCATAATGAAGGCTGCATTATTGCGCGAGGAAAGTGCAGCAGGGAGATATCCTTTAATCAAACCCGTCGCGCTCGAGGGCTTCTGCTCTCTCTCTCCGGCTCGCAGAATAAACGAACGAACCCTCGACGCGATATGTGTGTGGTCGGGCCACGATACTCCAGAGGGATGCTGCGGGATCGTTTAACCATGAATCGGTGTGCCTCGGCTCGACCGTAGGAATGTAAACGATCGATCCGAAGCGGCTCGAGTATCCGCATTTCGGAAAACTCGATGGCACGAGTGGTTCTGATCACGATGGAACATGGCCACCGAAAATTGTCCTACATTCGAAATTCAGGATCGATTTGGATGGACGGCCGGGACCGCGTTGTTATATAAGGAAAGGTCGGAATTTCGGCCGATACCGGTTCGCCGTAGGCGACGTGCGATTACGAGATTCACCTCGAGAATCGGGGTGACGGAAATACGTTGTCACACGCCGTTGTTCGGCGGGTTGTTAATCCGAATATTTGGCCGGTCTCGTGGAGTTTCAGGTCAGCTTTCGGCGTGTAGGCTCGGGAGCGAGCGAGCAAAACGAACGAGGGCCCCGAACACCGCGCGCATCGATTTTCCCATCGTGGCGAACGTTCGAGCTGGCTTTACGTCAATTTTCCTGTAAGACGTGTCTGCGGGGCGAGATCGATACGAGACCGTCTCGATCGCTCGTAAAGGCAAGACTGGGTGTCCGTCTCGGGCCCCCGTGATCTTGCTGTCGCGTGACACCTTCCGAGAACCATGCTCTCTCTCCTCTAATAGCGAAGCGATATGATTCGTTTTGTTCTCCGCGGAATTCTCGCAGAGTTGGCTGAATTTTTCGCAGCTGATTTTTACGGCGTACAAGACAGACAGAGAGAGAAAGAGAGAGAGAGAGAGAGAGAGAAAAAGTTAATTTCGTTCGTTGATTCTCGGGGACTAGCGATTCGCGATCCGCGAAGGCTTCTTAGGAGTCGGCGGAAGCGCGCGCGCGCACGGGGTCCGCTCGGAAGAAGAGCGTAACGAGCGTAACGTGAAAAGAGACGAGGACGGAGAACGAGGTTGAAGACGTTTCGAGCAAGAGAAGGAGCGTTCGGTAACGATCGGACGTACGAATTCCAGAATAGATATAGTGGTTGACTTAGGCGACTCGGCTTCTCTTACTTTTCTTGGTGGTGGTTGCATGCTGGACGAGCGTTGAGCGGCCTGCTCCGCAGCCTCACCGCTGGCAGCCCGTTTTACACCGTCCGGGCCAGGGAGGGGTGCTCTGTTGTTTTCGTACGCCTCACCCGACACACAACAATGAACGCGCAACCACCCTCTTCACAGCTCGCGTGTTCGTACGCTACTGCTCTCCTGCCCTCGACCGAACTAGCCTGTTTATTGATCGCACACGCGCCTGCGTCCTCTCGATGATACGCCTTCGGGATCTCTCGTTACCCTCCTACTGCCCCTCCCCCCCCCCACCCCCCCCCCCCCCCCCCCCCCCCCCCCCCCCCCCCCCCCCCCCCCCCCCCCCCCCCCCCCCCC